AGGGTGAGTCCATGACTCTGGTTAATGACTGGTCAGGGGGACTAACTGTTACCAGCCAGTGGTCTGAATGAGCTATCTACTGCCATCTGTTAATCAACTGTAGGAAAAGGCTTCACGAGCAGACCTTATTTATATAGGCAAACTACTTTGCCACAGAGATCCGTAGACACACTTGCTGTGTCAAGGTGATGAATTTTGGCTCTTTTGGGTTGAAATTCACATAAGACTTGGAGCTGGGAGAATGAAATGTTATCCATATTGTATGATTAAAAGGTAAAAGACCTGAACTTAACATGACCTGGCTTAGGTTCTGCCATAACTTGAACACTAAGCAGAGAATAGTGAGTCACATCTAACTGAAAGTCACAGAAGATGGAAACAGGTTTTATTTCTGGTGGTGTAGAGTCTATTTGGGAGTCCTCAATTATATCTGACACTTTACATCCAGTGTTTAAAGGCAGAGCTGACTAGAATCAATTGAGAGTCCTTGTCTTGTCTCAGTGATCGCTTGAGCAAAAATCATTGATAAAATCTTGTGTAGACTGACCTTGGACTCAACATGCAGGCAGTATGTTGAAGGGTAGTGCAAAGGAGGCAGTGGTGGTGGTGAGGTACCATGTTACCTAGTGAAATCATTGGTGCTGAAATCACTAAGGACTGGAATTTGACCACAGAACTGACACTTTCTTAACAAAGATTCCATATTTGCTATTTAAAAAGTAAATAAATGTAAAAAAAACTGCAACGCTATCTGGTAACTTTTTAAAAATCAAACTTTAAACTTTATTGAAAAAATTGGATAGTTTGCAATTGAAAATATTTGACCTACACTTAAGGCAACTGATTTAATTTTGTGTAAAATTTTGCATAATAAAGGATGGCTTTTTTTTGAAAATGTTCAACTATATTGGATATACATTTTGATCAGATCTACTTCTGATGTGATATTTGTGTGTGGTTGTGGTTTGTTGTGTGTGTGGGGTTTTTTTTTGCTCAACAAAAAATCCTGGGGGGGGTCTGCCAAAACGGTTTGAATCAGGCCCCTCACTTCCTAAAGCCAGCCCTGTAGGCAGGTTGCTGAGAGGTGACATACATCTGTTCCTTTCAAGCAGAAGGTAAAT